GGTTTTCTTCTAGGGTTTTTATGGTGTTAGGTCTTATGTTTAAATCTTTAATCCATCTGGAGTTAATTTTAGTGTAAGGTATTAGGAATGGGTCCAGTTTCTGCTTTCTTCACATGGCTAGCCAGTTTTCCTAACACCATTTATTAAACAGGGAATCTTTTCCCCATTGCTTGTTTTGTGAGATTTGTCAAAGATCAGATGGTTGTGGATATGTGGTGTTGCCTCTGAGGCCTCTGTTCTGTTCCATTGGTCTATGTCTTTGTTTTGGTACCAGTACCATACTGTTTTGGTTACTGTAGCCTTGTAGTATAGTTTGAAGTCAGGTAGTGTGATGCCTCCAGTTTTGTTCTTTTGGCTTAGAATTGACTTGGCTATGTGGGCTTGCTTTTGGTTCCATGTGAAGTATAAGGTGGTTTTTTCCAGTTCTGTGAAGATGGTCATTAGTAGCTTCATGGGGATAGAGTTGAATTTATAAATTAGTTTGGCTAGTATGGCTATTTTCACGATATTCATTCTTCCTAACCATGAACATGGAATATTTTTCCATCTGTTTGTGTCCTCTCTTATTTCCTTGAGCAGTGGTTTGTAGTTATCCTTAAAGAGGTCCTTTACATCCTTTGTTAGTTGTGTTCCTAGGTATTTTATTCTCTTTGTAGCAATTGTGAATGGCAGTTTGTTCTTGATTTGGCTCTCTTTAAGTCTGTTATTGGCATATAGGAATGCTTGTGATTTCTGCACATTGATAATGTATCCTGGGACTTTGCCGAGGTTGCTTATCAGTTTAAGGAGAATTGGGGCTGAGACAATGGGGTCTTCTAAATATACAATCATGTCATCTGCAAATAGAGACAATTTGATTTCCCCCTTTCCTAATTGAATACCCTTTATTTCTTTTTCTTGCCTGATTGCTCTGGCTAGAACTTCCAATACAATATTGAATAGGAATGTTGAGGAGGAGCATCCTTGTCTAGTGCCAGATATCAGAGGGAATGCTTCCAGTTTTTGCCCATTCAGTATGATATTGGCTGTGGGTTTGTCTTAAATAGCTCTTATTATTTTGAGATATATTCCAGTGATACCTAGTTTATTGAGAGTTTTTAGCACAAAGGGCTGCTGAATTTTGTTGAAGGCCTTCTCTGCATCTATTGAGATAATCATGTGGCTTTTGTCTTTGGTTCTGTTATGTGGTGAGTTACATTTATAGACTTGCATATGTTGAGCCAGCCTTGCATCCCTGGGATGAAGGCTACTTGATGGTGATGGATAAGCTTGTTGATGTACTGTTGCAATCAGTTTGCCAGTATTATATTGAAATTTTAGCATCTATGTTCATCATGGATGTTGGCCTGAAATTTTCTTTTCTTGTTGAGTCTCTGCCGGGTTTTGGTAACGGGATGATATTGGTCTCATAAAATGATTTGGGGAGGATTCCTTCTTTTTGGATTGTTTCGAACAGTTTCAGAAGGAGTAGTACCAGCTCCTCTTTGTATGTCTGGTAGAATTTGGCTGTGAACCCATCTGGACCTGGGCTTTTTTTGGTTGGTAGGCTATTAATTGCTGCCTCAACTTCAGCCCTTGTTATTGGTCTATTCAGGGTTTCAACCACTTCCTAGTTTAGGCTTGGGAGGATGCAAATGTCCAGGAATTCATCCATTTCTTCCAGGTTTACTGGTTTATGTACATAGAGTTGTTTGTAGTAATCTCTCATGGTGGTTTGTATTTCTGTGGAATCTGTGGTGATACCCCCTTTATCGTTTTTTATTGCATCTATTTGATTCTTCTTTTCTTTTTTATTAATCTGGCTAGTGGTTTCTATTTTGTTGATCTTTTCAAAAAACCAGCTCCGGGATTTATTGATTTTTTTGAAGGTTTTTTTTTTTTTTGTCTCTGTGTCCTTTAGTTGTGCTCTGATCTTAGTTATTTCTTTTCTTCTGCTAGCTTTTGAGTGCTTTTGATCTTGTTCCTCTAGCTCTTTCAATTTTGACGATAGGGTGTTGATTTTATATCTTTCCTTGCTTCTCCTGTGGGCATTTATTGCTGTACATTTTCCTCTAGACACTTCTTTAAATGTGTTCCAGACATTCTGATATATTGTGTCTTCATTCTTGTTGGTTTTGAAGAACATCTTTATTTCTGCCTTCATTTCATTGTTTATCCAGTCGACATTCAAGAGCCAGTTTTTCAGTTTCCATCCAGTTGTGTGGTTCTGAGTTAGTTTCTGAATTCTGAGTTCTAATTTGATTGCACTGTGGTCTGAGAGACTGTTTGTCATGATTTCCATTCTTTTGCATTTGCTGAGGAGTGATTTATTTCCAATTATGTGGTCAATTTTAGAGTAGATGTGATGTGGTACTGAGAAGAATGTGTATTCTGTGGATTTGGGGTGGAGACTTCTGTAAATGTCTATTAGATTTGCTTGTTCCAGGTCTGCGTTCAAGTCCTGGATATCCTTGTTAATTTTCTGTCTGGTTGATCTGTCTAATATTGATAGTGGAGTGTCGAAGTCTCACACTATTATTGTGTGGGAGTCCAAATCTCTTTGTAGGTAATTAAGAACTTGCTTTATGTATCTGGGTGCTCCTGTATTGGGCGTGTATATATTTAGGATCCTTAGCTCTTCTTGTTGCATTGATCTTTTTACCATTATGTAATGCCTTCTTTGTCTCTTTTGATCTTTGTTGGTTTAAAGTCTATTTTATCAAGGACTAGGATTGCAACTCCTACTTTTTTTTTTGGCTGTCCATTTGCTTGGTAGATCTTCCTCCATCCCTTTATTTTGAGCCTATATGTATCCTTGCATGTGAGATGGGTTTCCTGGATACAGCACACTGATCGGTTTTGACTTTTTGTCCAATTTGCCAGTCTGTGTCTTTTGATTGGGGCATTTAGCTCATTTACATTTAAGGTTATTATTGTTATGTGTGACTTCGATCCCTCCATTTTGATGCTAGCTGGTTGTTTTGCCTATTAATTGATACAGTTTCTTCATTGTGTCGATGCTGTTTACCATTTGGTACATTTTTGGAGTGGCTGGTACTGGTTTTTCCTTTCCATGTTTAGTGCGTCCTTCAGGAGTTTTTGTAAGGCACGCCTGGTGGTGACAAAATCTCTCAGCATTTTCTTGTCTGTAAAGGATTTTATTTCTCCTTCGCTTATGAGGCTTAGTTTGGCTGGATATGAAATGCGAGGTTGAAAATTCTTTTCTTTAAAGATGTTGAATATTGGCCGCCACTGTCTTCTGGCTTGTAGGGTTTCTGCTGAGAGATCCGCTGTGAGTCTGATGGGCTTCCCTTTGTGGGTAACCCGACCTTTCTCTCTGGCTGGTAATGGTGGATTTTCTCGTTGATGGTGTACTGCCTCGGTAATGATGGACTGCCTCAGGAATGGGGTACTTCCTTGGTAGTGGTGTACTGCCTCAGTGTTGGCAGGCACCCTTACCCCCACAGAGCTGGACCATCCTGGGTCCAGCTGTGTTTGCTGTCAAAATCTCAATCCAGAGTGTTTCAGATTGCTGGTCTTTGTTGGGGTGGGACCAGCAGAACCAGATCACCTGGCTCTCTGTTTCAGCCCCCTTTTTTTCAGTTGAATGGGTGACTCTGTCTTCCAGGCATTCTAGTTGCCAGTTGGAACGGCACCCAGATTTGTGTGAGTTTTTGTGTGGAGACCCACTGCATTGGGTGAAATAGCTGCGCTGGGGACTCGTGGCAGTTTTCTGCCTGGGACTCTCCTGGTCTGTGGATAGTAAAAATTCATTTGGAAATGCAGTGATCACTCACCCTTTGCGGTTTTGATGGGAACTGCAATCCAGAGCTGTTCCTATTCAGCCATCTTGGATCGTCCTCCTATCTGTATTCTTTTACTTATAACAAATATGAATATTTTCCTGTCTACCTCTAAAATACCCTTGAACTTGATGAAATCTTACATTTTCTCACTTATATGTATTCTGTTTGGTTGGGTTACATAATTCTGGATAATAAGTAATATCTGAAATTTGAAGTTTCATCGTAATTATGTTTTACCTACTGTCATATCTTCTAATTTGACTGGCGCTAACAAGATAAATTTGTTTCAAATGCCCTGGAATGACAAATTTCAAGAATTAATTTCTTTTTTATGTTGAAGAAGCTTAGTAAAATGTATATAAAATAATATTCAATCTATTTTCTTTACATGAGTGACAGCTTTTCTCTCCCATCTTTCATGAGAATATAAAGCTAAAGTGTAGTTAATAATGTCATTGAATGCTGAGTTTGTATTTTCCCTTTCATCTTTTATTGCTTTTTGGCAGATAGCATTTAAGATTTGTTTTATGTGGTTTCTCAAACTCTTTGGTTTTATTGATGTGTGTCTCTAAATCACTTATTGCTTACTGTAGTTGTAATTAATCTAAATGGAGTATCTTTAGAAAATTCAACGTTTTTCTGTAGCAGAGCTGCTATGTTTTTACTGAAGTAAAGCTCCAGGATCCTTTTGGTGGAGTCTTTAGGGTTCTCTAGATATAGAATCATATCATCAGCAAAGAGCAATAGTTTGAATTCTTTTCCTGTTTGGATGCCTTTTATTTCTTTCTCTTGCCTGATTACTGTGGCTAGAACTTCCAATACTATGTTGAATAGGAATGGTGAGAGTGGGCATCCTTGTATTGTGTTGTTCTAGTTTTTAAGGGGAGTGCTTCCAGCATTTGCACATCATGTATGATGTCGGCTGTGGATTTGTCATAGATGGCTTATATTATTTTGAGGTTTATTCCTTTGATGCCTCATTTGTTGAGGGTTTTTATCGTGAAAGGATGCTGGATTTTACTGAAAGCCTTTTTCATGCCTATTGAGATAATCATGTGGTTTTTGTTTTTAATTTTCTTTATGTGGTGAATCACATTTATTAATTTGCATGTGTTGAACCAACCTGGCATCCCAGGAATGAAACCTAATTGATCATGGTGAATTAATTTTTTGATATGCTGCTGGATTTGGTTTATAGCATTCTTTTTTTTTTGAGGGTGTTTGTGTCTATATTCACCAGGGATATTAGCCTATAGTTTTCTTTTTATGTTGTGTCTTTGCCAGATTTTGGTATCAGGGTGATGTTGGTTTCATAGAGAGTTAGGGAGGAGCCCTTCCTCCTTGATTTTTTGGAATAATTTAAGTAGAATTGTTACTGGATCTTCTTTATATGCATGGTAGAATTCAGCTGTTAATTCAACTTGTCCAGGGCTTTTTTGGTAGGTTTTTCATTATTGATTCCATTTGTGAACTTGATATTGGTTTGTTCAGGGATTCAATTTCTTCCTGATTCAAACTTTGGATGTTGGATGTTTCCAGGAATTTATCCATTTCCTTTACATTTTATAGTTTATGTGCTTAGAGATGTTCATAGTAGTCTCTGAAGATCTTTTGTACTTCTGTGGAATCAGTTGTAATATCACAGTTGTCATTTCTAATTGTGTGTTTTTAGATATTCTCTCTTTTTTCTTTGTTAATCTAGCTAGCAGTCTGTTGATCTTGTTTATCCATTCAGAAGGGTAACTTTTGTTTTGTTGATTCTATCTATCAATTTTGGGGTCTGAATTTCATTCAGTTCTGCTCTGATTTTAGTTATTTCTTTTCTTCTGCTAGATTTGATGTTAGTTTGTTTTTGTTTTGCTAGTTCCTCTAGGCCTTCCTTCCTTCCTTCCTTTTTTCCTTCCTTCGTTTTTTGAGATCCAGTCTTGCTCTGTCATATAGGCTAGAGTGCAGTGGCTATATCTCAGCTCACTACAACTTCTGCCTCCCAAGTTCAAGTGATTCTCGTTCCTCAGCCTCCCAAGCAGCTAGGAATACAGGAGTATGCAACCACACCTGGCTAATTTTTGTATTTTAGTAGAGATGGGGTTTTACCATGTTAGCCAGGCTGGTCTTGAACTCCTGACCTCAAATGATCCACCCGTCTCAGCCTCCCAAAGTGCTGGGATTACAGGTGTGAGCCACCATGCCCTGCACCATACTGCTTTTCTTAGTGACTATGTTAATTTACATTTTCACCACAGTGCTTGCTAACACTTATTTTCTGTTTTTTTTTTTCTTCCCACAGTAGTTATCCTAATAGGTATGAAGTTATATCCTATTATAGTTGTTATTTGCATTTTTCTAGTGATTAATAATATTAAACATTTTTTCATATAAATGTTGACCATTTATATACCTTCTTCAGTGAACTCTCTATTCAAGATCTTCACCCATTTTTAAATTGTTTTTTTATTTTGTGGCTGATGTTATTGAGTTGTAGGAGCTCTCTATGTATTCTGGATATTAATCTCTTATTATCTATATGATTTGCAAATATTTTCCCATTCTCTAGATTGTCTTTTCACTCTGTTGATTGTATTCATTGGTGCACAGAAGCTTTTAAGTTTATTGTCATTCAATTTGTCTATTTTTGCTTTTGTTGCCTGTGCTTTTGGTGTCATGTACAAGAAGTCATTGTCAAATCTAATGTCATAAAGACTTTCTTTCCTTAAAAATAATTTTTAGAGGGTTTTAGGCCATCAGTTTTGGTTTTTAATTCATTTTGAGTTAATTTTTGTATAGTATAATGTTTTTTCAACACCAGTTCTTCAAGAGACTGTCCTTTCCCCATTCAATGGTCTTGGCATTGCTATGAAGATCATTTTACCATATTTATGAGGTTTCACTTCAGGGCTATGTCTTACATTGGTATATATGTCTGTCTTCATGACAGTATCATACTGTTTTGATTACTGTTGTTTTATAATAGATTTTCACATCAGAAACAGTGAGACCTCCAACTTTGTTTTTCTTTTCTCGCTATATATATTTTTTGGCTATTAACCGTGGCTTTTCTATTTGTAGGGCAGAGTGAGTGGAAGCTGTTTTTTAAGAAAAGTAGATTGATCAAGTCAGAAGAAGAGATGCACCTCATGGGTGCCTGTGATGCAATGCAATATGAAGGTGCAGAAATCCTCTGGGAGGGCTGGGCATGGTGGCTCATTCCTGTAATCCTAGCACTTTGGTAGGAGGCCAAGGCAGACAGATTGCTTGAGCTCAGGAGTTCAAGATCAGCTTGGGTGACATAGTGAAATCTCTTATCTTAAAAAAAATCTATTGGGAGAAAAAGAGAAAAACCACCACTACCACCTCAATAAAAATCTACTTCCAGCACAGGACTTGGAACTTATGTGCAGGATCTTTTCTTCAAATTTGTAACCTTGTCTGTCAGTGTGTTTTTCTTTCTTTTACAATGTGGGATGTTGAAAACACCTTACTAGAATTGTAGGTTGAGTCAAAATTGATTAAACTTTGAACTTTGAGGATTTCAATAAGTATTTTGCTCATGAAACACATCCCTGACACTATAATGTGTTCTGGACATGCAGTGGTGCCTACAGTGATGGAGAAAGGAGACCTGATCCTTGCCCTCAAAGAAACTGACTTAGCAGCTTCTTGTGAATGTGGACAGAGCTGGGCATGTGTGTTGATGTAAGAGACAACTCCACGTTTGCCTCTTCGGCTATAGAATGTAGTTTTCTGTTTTTTCACGGGCTTGTTCTTTGATAAATTTTTAAGATGAAGGGACATTTTGCTAGTTTTCTTTATGGGAAAATCACGCACTCCCTGGCTATGAACTGGAGACAAAACACATGCCATTCCGAATTATAACTTCAGTAAGAAATTTTAATTTAATTTAAATACATTTGAGATTTAAGTAAATGATTTATTTCTTCCTCTAAAGCCATGAAAGAATATCTCATGCTATATGGAGTAGTCAGAGCCAAGATATTTGGCAAGAGGGAACGGGGAAAGAATTGATGTCATGGTCTGCTGCATGGAGGGAGGGGCCAAATTGTACCAAAACAGATATTAAAGAATTATTGACACTAAAATATGCTTTCTGGGAACTTCTCTGCCTTGGAGTTGAAAATTAACCTATGAAAAAATTAGAATTTATCTGGAGGATATTTATCACCTAGATACATTTTTCTTCAGAGGGGCTAAAAATATTAAGCAGCTACTTAAGTACCCGTTGTCCCAGCATATAGTCCACATTATATAAATATTAAACAACAAATTTAAAATGTCCTAAAGTTTATGGAGTTTCTCTGTTTTTATTTGAAAAGCTTTGAGATTTATAGCAAAGATGGAGGAAATTACTTTAATGGAATTGGGGGAATGTATATATAGCACAGAAACTTATTTTGCTGGAAACTTTTATAATATTGACACAGCAACAATAAAGTTACACAGCCCCTTTTATTGTTCAAATGTAACATTTAGCTCTTGATATTAATTTTTGTTTTTTGAAGGTTTTGGGTGGTTTGTGTTTTTTGCTGGTTTTGGGTGGTTTGGGATAATGCTAAACTGAAATGAAGGATCTCTATATGTTCATGAGTTTCTGAGGAATTAGAATTAGGTTAATAATTTTTTCATGAGGTGCTCAGTGTTCTAGAAGTCATTCTTTGTGTTTGGTTTGGTTCACATTCTGCAAAATCTCCAGACATTGAAGTAGTGGCAAACATATTTAGAGAAAGAAATACAGCATTCAGAACTTACTCTATAAAATAGTATTTCTTTGGATTGTTCTCCATATCAAAGGATGAAGATAGGGCCCTGACAATGCAAATTACTTTTAAAAAATAAAACGTGCCATTTGTTTGCTAAATTATTTAATTTTCTTTTCTATGTATGTGAAATTTTAGCTGTAAAACTTACAGTTTGTTAGAACTTCTTAATTAGACCTGTGAAAATATCTTTAAATATTTACATTTCAAAAATATGTTCAATTATCTATAAAATGCTTCAGTCAGTGTATAGTAGCTTATGGAAACACTGACATGTTATATTGTATTAGCATAACAAGAAAGGAACTGTAAAATACCCTAATAAAAGATTAGTATGCCAAGGTTTTGTTAGTTGTTAATATGAAAAAGATAACATTGGCAAAAAGTAAAACTTTAGACTTTGGGAAATGCTTCCAATACTGAAGCTGATGTCTTTGATTTTATTTTCTAGGTCATTGTTTCCCAAACTAGATGCTGAATCCCGGTGAGACTGTGAAGATAATTGTGAGCATTCTTGGAGATCAGTGCAGAAAACATCCAACGGAGGTAGGTAGCAGTGAGGTACTACAGGCAATTACAAAAATGAACCAGGTGCCCTCTTTTCTCTGGTACTTCTCATGATAGCTCCACATCCATGTGCTTTCTTTTAGCCTTTTCAGACTTCTGATACTCAGAAAAAGTGATGGTTACTGGTAACCTTTTTTGAATTTTTCTCTTCCTTAATAATAGCTAATGCTTTTTGACAAATTATTTTGCCATGAGATAATGTACTAAGTGTATTAGATAGTTTCATTTAAACCTCAGTGTAATTCTATGAGATAGGTACTAGGTTTTTTTTCTCCAGATAAGTGGAGCAGTTGCAGCTTGGGGAGATTTGGTGATTTCTATAAGGTCATTCAGCGAAAAAGAGATGCTAGGGATTTTGATCACAGGCAGTCTGAATGTAGGACTCACAGTCTTTCTCCGTCTTCTTCTGTTTTCATCATTGGATTTTATCACATGAAATGGTCTGAGAACCATTCCTCTATAATTATCAACTAGGCTAAGGAAGGGGAGTAAGCCATCTTAATGGGGCATCTTGGACAGAATATTCTGAGCTTTTTTAAATGGCAAAAATGCCTTCTACAAAAATTAAGACATGCCATTTAGCACCCTCAAGCTCTGCTTAAAGAATACTTTATCTAACAAAAGAGTAATAATTATTAAAAAAAATGTAGTGGATATGAAGGTGGCATAGAAAGTGACAAAAGTTTAAAAGCCTTGTTATTAATTCTTGGACTTAGACTGTTTTGCACAGTTGCATATTTTTTTATGTAGAGGATGCTATTATGTAAGAGCACTTCAGTCTCTCTTTTAGAAAAAGTTGCTGAAGTGTCTCCCTCTCACCTGGTCTTTGCTTCCTGCTGCTGTCCTCTACCTCTCATGAAGATACTTGTGTAATACTAGGGTCATTGTTGAGAATTAAGGGATACATTTAACAGCTGAATTCTCCCAAATGAATTCTAACTCAAATAAAAATGGGACTT